AAAAAAAAAAAAAAAAAAAAAAAAAAGTTGCCTACCCTGAACTGCGAGGGTCTGCGATGCTTATTCGCTTGCTCAATCACGCGATGTTGGGATGTTCTAAGGTTTCGATCACCTTTTCAACTTCTTTCTCGTGCTGCAGACCAAACTCTCTTGCACCGGGAGGTAGGCTCTGAATCTGGTCCCTATTCAGTTCTTCAAACGGCCTACGTCGTCTAAAGGACTTATGCAGCTCGTTAGGAGTTCTGGAAGTAGCTAGGTGTACGATATTATTATAGGCACTAACTACTTCAGGAAGCTTCTCATCCCAATTCACTTGATCGGGTCTAATGTACATTCTGAGTAACTGCTGCAAGGTCTTATTCATTTGTTCAGTCTGGCCGTTTGTCTATGGATGATGACCTGACGACATCAACAGCTTAGAGTCGTAGACTTTCATGAGATCGTGCCAGTTCTGGCTGGTAAACCGCGTGTCTCTATCACTAACTATTAACAGTGGTATGCCATGCTCACTGACCCAGAAGTTAAAGAACTTCTCTATAACTAATTCAGTCTTTGCCTCTACGGGCAATGGTACGAAGATTGCATATTTGCTAAATCAATCTATTACGACTTTTTCCATGCCTACTCCTGACCCCTGTATCCATGAGGTCAATGGAAACAGACTCTCCGGGTCCTGCTGGATAGGCAACGGTCTCGGAAGACCTAGGGGTGCTCTTGTCGTTGTCTTGTTGCGCTGGCAGACTTTACAACTGCGGACATACTCTATACAGTCTGCTTTCATGCCAGGCCATGTATACGACATGGATAGGTTGGGTATTGTCTTTTGCCAGCCAGTCCTGTATCATGGCTTTCCCCTAAGATCAAACTGTGGATGTCTTCACTATTGGGGACGCACAATCTATCAATGGCATGGTCTTCTCAAAGAGTAGCCCGTTTGTGGTTCTGTAATCTGGTTCGCTATCAGGGGTTTCCTTAACCTTTTTTTAGGAGATCAATGTAGATCGGGTCCTGAGTGCATGCATCGTTTATTTTCTGCTGTAGATCTACCCCTATGTCCAAATAATGCACGATTGCTCCAAACTTCCAAAGTAATCAGCCCATCTACTTAGAGCATCGGATACCACATCATACTTGCCTTTAATGGGCTTCAACTCAAAGTCAAACCGGTCTATCTTTGCTGCAGGAGATCATGGATCAGTGGGGCTCAGGCCCGGAGTATGAAGTTGAGGAGATTGCGGATCAGTAGGGCTCAGGACCCCGACTGCGAGTATCTTGTCAATTTCTACTTCCAGCCCCATTCTGAAGACAGATGGTTCACAAGGAAGGAGCGTCTCAAGACTGCAAAGTTCGTTGCCTTGTTCCATGAGGCTGAACAGAAGGGACAACCTCCCAGACGTTCTCCTCGTGGGTACTCCTAGCTGGAGCTGTAACATTTGTGGGGTTATGTTTTCAATTTTATTGATTGTCGGGCCCTAACCTGCAGTGGGTCCAGGCCCTGTCCCTACGGGGACATTTCTGCAAATAACTTAGTTTCTAGGCCCTACTGAATTTCGTTGGTAGTCTGACCGGTACCACTGTCCGTTCGGGTAGGCCCGCTGTCTAGTTGGTCCTAGGTCAATAGTGAGTGGCAGTAGAAATAGTTTAGGGCGGTTTGACTTCGGGTTCTTTTCCCTGTGACTTCGTTGTTGGTCGGAGAGGAGAGTCGCGGGAGGGAAGCTGCACTAATTTTGGAATGCAGCCATCTTCTGCACCAGGAGATTAGGACAACCATAGCTGGGGCTGATTGAGCTGATGATTGCCAGCGCTGAAACAGGCGCTGAGGATGCAAAAAGGCCCAGGTGTGACTTTTTTTTTTTTTTTTTTTTTTTTTTTTTCTAAACAGAACCTTATGGTTCCAGCTCCTTTTCCATTCTGGGGAGCAGCAGTCCGGTTCCTATTCCACCGGCAAGTCAGAAAAGGTTACAAAGTATGCGCACTCACGCTCCTCCCCCTTGTGGTGTGGAGGTCCGAAGGACGACATTGATTACTTCCCGGAGGAAGGATGTACCACCCTTCACCCCTGCCTAAGTTAACCTGTTTTACTGGGGATCTAGTCTTTTCCAGTGTTTGGTGCCAGAACTCTAAAGCCTATCCTGATATTTCTGTGTCCTGCCCTATCTCCGGTGGTCGAATCTGTATCGTATCCTGCCAAGGCTGGTGGGGCCGTTCTGGGCTCTTCGTGCCGCTTGACAGGGGACTGTTTGTATTCCGTTGGAAGTGCACTTGACTGGAGGATGTTGAGGACTGGGAGGTGGCTGTGGCTGAATTTATTAGTTAGTATACTGGTTGTTGTATGGAGGGTGTGGGAGGGGGGCAGAGGTGAAAGGTGAGTTGAAGGGGATTGTGGTGGTGTGGAGACGGACGCTAGAGGGTGGGGAGGGTCGCAGTAGGGGTGAGGAGTGAGGGATTTTTAATGATTCGGTTGTGGGTGAGTAATGATAGATTGGTTTGGGTTTGGTAGTGTGTGGAATAGAGGGGGGGTTAAGGAGACTTTATGTATGTGTTATGGTTAGCCAGTTTTTTAGGATTAGTCTATCGTTGTTAATGTTGCAAAGAAGCCCATTGCCTAGTTTGGATGTTGAGAATTTTAGGTTTGTTTTTGTCGGGCCCAGTTGGGAGATTTTTGCGTTCTTTGTTCCAGAGGGCGTGGAGTTCTGTGTCTATTAGTTGTTTGATGGTTATGAGTGGGTTTTCTGAGGTGGTGAGTCTGTCATCAAAGGTGGTGTCACATTCGTTTTTCCATATGGCCCATAGGGTGCTTTTTTCGATTTGGGAGGAGAGGAAGGCTTCAAAGCCTTTGAGTGGGGGTGATTGGTTGAGGTCGAGGAATAGTGTGGCGGGGTTGATTAATAGAGGAGAGTCTGATATTTTAAGCCATGATGATTCTAGGGCTTGCCATAGGGATCTGGCCTTTGGGAAGTTGATGAAGCAGTGGTTCAGGGATTCAGGGGTGTTGAGGTTGCATACCTTGCACCAGGAATCTTGTTCAGAACTGGTTTCTTGATTGTACCTGATGGCCAACCATTTGTTTACTGGTACTGCTTTGAAGGCTA